TTTCCTAAGTAACCAGCCCATCTCATGACTGCCTGTCATAATTGCATTGCCTATCTAAAGTACAAGTAAGCTTTTATCCACTCCGTTAAAAAATACATTCAAGATGGTAAAACGATGAGCTGTGTAATTTCACACTTCAGTATCCAATCACTGAGGCGTTTTACCTGCTCCGACTCCGTGTCCAGTGATGGTAAGTGCCTCTGGTAGATTGAAGCCGTACGTAAAGATCAGTGGGACTGATGGAGAGAGGTTTTGAGAGACTAATGGATGCACACCCGTGGTTATGTAATTGGGCTCTAATTCCAAGTCTGTTTAAACTAGCGGGGTTTTTCCATCAGCTTCATCGGAGTCAGGGTTTTAGGGAAGTTTGACTCTTATCTTTGGCAAAAACAGCAATGAAAAGATGTGTATTTTTATCCCAAGTTCGAGCAACAGAAGTTGTTCAGTTTCCTGTCTTCGTTAGTTTTGTTGTCAAACAACAAATACCACCCACACATGTACTTTCTCATACAATGAGGAAAACGTCACCACAGCCACCACTTCAGACTAGAAAGTCTGGCAAGGTGCCCAAAAGGTGAAAGTGATCAAATTGCAGATTGTTCATCAGCACTGGCACCGCTCAATGCTTATATGCTCTGCTCTGCAACGCTCTGCAGTTAGATGTCACCACCAGACCAGGAACTCTAAGCTGAGCACCACAGAACGCAACACACACTCTTTATTCACACTCTTTTTATTCACTTTCTATTTCCTGTTCAGTCTTTACAAATAAATACAAATACTAGTAACAGTTTCTCTTTTAGTCCTCAGTCTCCTTCTGGCTGACCTCAAGGAATAGTCAAGCTGCTTGCTATTTTTAGTTAAGTCATTCAATAAATCACTTGAAAGTATTATGAATACTCAAGGTTAATGAAGAGAAAGCTAGTGGGCACTTTCTTACTGCGGAGAAAAAGTAACAAACACCATCCATGCTCTACCCACAGCAATGTTTACAGAGGGCTGAGCAGTGCAGAAACTGGTAGAATCATAGAATTGCTCAGGTTGGAAAAGCCCTTCAAGATCAAGTCCGACCGCAACCTAACCATACTACCCTAACACTAACAACCCTCTGCTAAATCATGTCCCTGAGCACCACATCCAAACGGTTTTTAAACACATCCAGGGATGGTGATCAGCCCCCTCCCAGGGGAGCCTATTCCAGTGCTTAACAACCCCTTCTGTAAAGAAGTTTTCCTGATATCCAACCTAAACTTACCCTGGAGCAACTTCAGGCCATTTCCCCTCATCCTGCCACCTGACACCAGTGAGAACAGACCAACCCCCTCTCGCTGTAAGCACCTTTCAGGTACTGGAAGAGAGCAATAAGGTCTCCCATCAGTCTCCTTCTTCCCAGACTAAACAGCCCCAGTTCCTTCAGTCTCTCCTCGTAGGGCATGTTCTCCAAGCCCTTCACAAGCCTTACTGCCCTTCTTTGGATCTGCTCCAGCACCTCAATGTCCTTTCTGTATTGAGGTGCCCCAAACTGAACACAGTACTCTAGGTAAGGCCTCACCAGAGGTGAGTATAGGCACAGGATTACTTCCCTAGTCCTGCTCACCACACCATTCCTGATACAAGCCAGGATGCCATTGGCCTTCTTGACCACCTGGGCCTTCTTGGCCACCTTCTAGGCCATACTGAAACTCATACAGTTTATCCTGGCCCATTGATCCAGTCCATCCAGGGCCCTCTGGTAGGGCATAAGTCTATGCGGCCATACTTCTCATGGGATGCATTACACATACTGAGGACCACATCACAAAAAGCACTTTTTCAGTATTGAGTTTGCAGACACAAAGAGCAAGCAGCACACATCCACCAGCAGTAAACGCTGTGTCCCTGACAGCAACTCATGGTCACTCCAACCAACCTCACTGGGGGCTGAGAATGGTCCCACAAACATGGATTAGAGCTGCCAGTGGCTCCAGCACACCTCATTCATCACACATAGTTACACTTTGCTCACACAATTCCTTCTAAGGGCAAAGCGATTACCCTTGGTCAGTGTCCAAGAAACAACAAAAAAACAAACCGCACCAAAAATTCCCAGCAAATTGCTCCCGTTCATTCTTCATTATGGGAGATTGAGGAAAAAGAATACCACCTTACAATTGCACCACTCTCATCCCTCCACTAATCCATAGTACACACATGCTTTTCTATTTGTAATAAAGAGGAAAAAGCCAAGTCTACCTGGGCAGTTTCCACCCAGTCACCAGCCAGGCTTTCAGTCAAAGTCTATACTTAGAAAAACACAATGGAGCTGCTGGTGTTAATAAATCTGTATTGTCTTAATTTGCTTATCCTCCACAGCCTATCAGTACCCATTTTTTTCTCTCTTCAACCCCACAGCAGCAAACAGAGCAGCACTGTGCTTGCCCTGGGCAGCCCAGCATAGCAGGAGCCTGCTCCCAGGCCACGATGTGAGTTCTGTATTACACAGATATTTCTACAGAAGCAATTGTTACTACCAATACTAGTCACAGAGAAAACTGTTCATTCTTAGGTTAGCATGCAAGCTCCCAAAGTGCTTTTGAGACCTCTCCACCAGAAAGTGAAGTCACTATTTAATGACAAATTGCTTTTTGTAAATTGCCAGTTCAAATACGTTGGCATGCACACAGGAAAGCTAAATCAAATAGCACTCGACTAATCAAGCAACAAGTAGGTTTGTTCTGCCTGAAGTGAGCCTATAATCTGTTTAAAGAGTAAACGTGGATGTTTGATTTAAAGGATGACAATGAATTCACACCTGGCTTTAGAAAGATGGTAGAGAAAAGAAGGTGAGAGAATTCAATGAAATAAAACAAAGCATGTAAATAAGGGGCAACTAACTTCTTCCAAAGTTAGAAGACTTTTCTTTGTCATCTAATCTCAAAAGGCTGGAGATCTAGATGCAGCCAAGGCACAAAACTTGGATTACATAGAGTTTCACATACAAGATGAGCTGGTGCAGACGGCACCTTGGTCTTGCTTGTTTTCTGACCCACATGAATGAATTGGTTCTGGCAGGATCAGCAATCTTGGCAATTTTGACACGGCCCCACAGGCTCAGAAGGTTTCCTGGGCTGTCCTCCTGCCAGCCACCGCTGGCCTGGTAAAGCATGCTCACACCTCTCCCAACATCATGCTGGAGCAGCAGGGAAACAGGAAAGGAGAAAAAAGGGAGCCCTCTCCAGTGCCCAGCCTCTTCCCCCTGTGGCTACGCTGACATAAAGAAGCAATCTCTCCCTCCCCTTATTCCCTCTCACTCATTTATTGTCTCTTTCCAGGACAGCAGAAATCCAAGATCAGTCTTTAGAAGCTGACCTCCAAAGGCCAACTCAGGAGGCAGATACCCCTCACCCTATGCCAGCTCTCCATTTGCCAGGGACCCAACTCTGTCTAACTGTGGGTGTGCCGTGTCAGGCCATTACCCTCTCACAGTCCCATGATCAGTTCCCTGCGTTCACTTCTGGTCTGCTTCTCCCACTTTTAATCTGTCACTCCAAACTTACTTGCAAGACCCTGAGTTTTATGCACGCCTATCCTATCAACCCCTAAAGAAATGTGTGGAAATAAAGACAACTTAATTTCTTTACCTGTTATTGTATTTTTCTTAGTTTACAGTACTTAGAAGTGTAAGTGCTGAAAGAAGAAATGAAGTGGGTCAGGAGAGGTAGAAATACTCTTCCAAAGCCGTGAGTGCACACCTAACTTAGGGAGCCACACAGCACTGCCAAGAACCTCAGAGTTTGTTGTGTATACCATCAGCAGCAATCTCATCTATGAAGCGGATTAACTTTCCAGGGAAGTAAATACACACAAGTATAACGCTCTTGTACGAACATACAGACTGAATTAAGCGAGACAAATATCAGCTGCCTAAATGTATACTGATAGACAGATACTAACAGTGTGCTGTGGACTGGCAAAGGGAACCATGCATGCAGCCAGCCCAAGCTGCCCTCCCCAAACACTCTCCAGCACTCAGTACCATGGCAGCCAAGAGCCCTGGTAAGCAGCAGCACGCCGCATGCGTGCCATCGTGCTTGGCTACCAAGTGAAGCACTGAGGGCCCCGCAGCACTGAGCAGCCCAGAGGCCGGGATCACACCCATCACTGTGCGGCACTGGCTCATGGAACCCGGGCAGTCACTGTATCTGGCTGTACCAATCCTGCTAGGACCGTGTGGCAGCTGCTTCTCTCCTTAGCTGTGCTTCTCCTGGGGGTATAGGGGAGACCACAGGATAATACAGCACAGCCACTCTGTCACTCCTCCCCTCCTGCTAAGTAAGACACTCTATAGAGAATTTAAAAAAAAAACAAAAATTCAGATGGATACAGCTTCAACTCTCAAGCACAATTATTTGTGATCCTCCCTGTATTCCTACTACGTGAATCCTCTACAGACCTGCACATGGACCTAACTGTTCTACCTGCGTTATCCCAAGAGAAAACCCCCCCAACAGCAAAGCACTCCTAACAAAATACCTGAACCAAAGCCCGCGGGATCCCAGCGTGAGGGCGTTCAGCAGGGCGCTCCCCATACAGCCCGACCGCGTACACCGGGACCGGCTGTGAACGGGGCCTGCGCTGCCCTCCGGCCCGTCCAACTTTTCGTTATCCCCCTCCCGAAGTCCCAGCCGGCCCCGACCCCCAGCGCCGCACACCGGGCAGCCCACACGCGCGGCGGCAATCCTCCGCCGGGAGCAGCACAGCACACGGCCGGGCTCAGCCCCCTCCGCCGCCGCCCTCCCGCCGCGTTCCCTCCCAGGGACGCCCGCACCCCGTCGCCCTTCCGGCCCCGCTCCGGGAGCCCACGCACCGCTCCCGCTTTGTGCGGGACTTGTTGAGCGCCGGACGCGAGCGGAGGGGCCGCTCCCGCCGCATCCCGCCCCACGGCCGCCGCCGCCTCCCACCGCCCTCCCGCCCGCCGGCAGCGGGGAGCGCGCGCTCCGGCCCGGCCCGCCCGGACGCACCTTGAGGCTCGCCCGGAGGGGGCCCTTGCCGTGGGCGCTCAGCGCCGGTGGTGGGCTCCCCAAGCCGCCCTCCTCCTCCTCCTCCTCTTCTTCCACCTCCACCACCACGTCCTCGTCTTCGTCCTCCTCCTCCACCGCGGCGGCCGAGCCCTCCCGCCGGGGCGGCCTCCAGGCGCTCTCGGGCTTGGGGGGCCGAGCCCCGTCCGCCTGCGCGGCCGCCGGCCCCGCGCTCAGCCGCCGGCTGCCCATGCTGGAGCGCTTGGCCAGGCGCCGCGCCTGCATCGTGCCCCGCCCGGCCC